ACACACACACACACAGTATAATAATATAAAAAAAATACTAAACAGGTTTACACAAGTCAAGTGCCTCACTTGTGAAAAACTGATTTAAAAAGAAATAAGAATAAGAAAAAAAAACATTTTAAATTAATAAAAAGCCAAGTAGAATTTAGAGAAATTATTTTATTGTATTTTATTTTTTATTTTAGTTTAGTTTTGTTTTGCTTTGTTGTTTTTTTTGTGCATATTTGTGACAAACAGTGCGGGTCAGCTGCACCTATTACAAAAAAAATCAGATTTTTTTTCCCCTGTAAGAAAGAGATTAATTTGCTGTTTCTTTGTTTGATTTGTTTTTGCATATTTGTCAGCTGCACCTATCACAAAAAATCTAAAGATTTTTTTTATTTTGGTGGGCTTTAATTTTGTATTAATAATTTTTTTTTTTTCTCCAAATTATGAGCACAGTGATTGATTGGCAAGTGAGTAGTTGTTGTTCACTGCTATCTGAAATGCATCAGGACAGATTAACATTTACACTATGAATATAGTGTCGTCACAAGTGTTTTAACTAGCTCTGAATGTGGTTTGAGTGATCGAATACTGAAGTGGTTCGGACCTGTTTACACTTGTATTTAGCGCTGTGATCAGATTACCTAAGACAGATCTTAAAAGCAGATCAAAAAGAAGCTAAAGATCCACATGCTACACAAAGCTGATGCCAAACTTCAGAGTGTAGTATAGTTGTTCGCTTGCAGCTGTAAGCCAAAGTAAAACCATGTTATGTAAGTTTATACTTTGATTGATTGACAGCTTTGTTTCTCCCTTCACCACACAAAAGATGTAGCTGTCACCTCTGGGTTCTTGAAATATTTGAGCAAGTTTTGATTGGGGAGCTTGTCATGTGTGAAAGATAGCGGTGAAGAGGAGGCGCGTGTCAGTTGTAAGAAAGAGATTAATTTGCTGTTTCTTTGTTTGATTTGTTTTTGCATATTTGTCAGCTGCACCTATCACAAAAAATCTAAAGATTTTTTTTATTTTGGTGGGCTTTAATTTTGTATTAATTATTTTATTTTTTTTCTCCAAATGATGAGCACAGTGATTGATTGGCAAGTGAGTAGTTGTTGTTCACTGCTATCTGAAATGCATCAGGACAGATTAACATTTACACTATGAATATAGTGTCGTCACAAGTGTTTTAACTAGCTCTGAATGTGGTTTGAGTGATCGAATACTGAAGTGGTTCGGACCTGTTTACACTTGTATTTAGCGCTGTGATCAGATTACCTAAGACAGATCTTAAAAGCAGATCAAAAAGAAGCTAAAGATCCACATGCTACACAAAGCTGATGCCAAACTTCAGAGTGTAGTATAGTTGTTCGCTTGCAGCTGTAAGCCAAAGTAAAACCATGTTATGTAAGTTTATACTTTGATTGATTGACAGCTTTGTTTCTCCCTTCACCACACAAAAGATGTAGCTGTCACCTCTGGGTTCTTGAAATATTTGAGCAAGTTTTGATTGGGGAGCTTGTCATGTGTGAAAGATAGCGGTGAAGAGGAGGCGCGTGTCAGTGTGTGAGGGTGTGGATGTGAATAGGAGTGTGTTTGTGTAAAAAAAAAAACTCACACTCCATCAAACCCACCTTTCACACTCCTCATCTGTGAGGCTCGGAAAATGGAAAGAGAACATTCCTTTTGAAAGAAATGTTCCAGGCTTTTGCATTTACATACTTATGAACATAAACTACTATTCAAAAGTTTAGGGCCAATAAGATTTTTTAAGAATTAAGATTTTTTTTATTATTATTGAATACTCACCAAGGCTGCATTTATTTGATCTAAAATACAATAAAATCATTAGTAGCAGTAGTAGTATCTCTGATTTATATTTGAATGCAAAAAATGAAATTTATTCCTTTGATGACAAAGTTGAATTTATTGAATTCATAAATATTTTTGTTTATTAAATAATGTATGTTATTTAATGTATATTATTTTTTAAATTTATTTGTTTACTTAATTTACTTGTTTACTTAATATTATATTTATTTGTAAAATGTATTTGTTTAATAGTTCTTTAAATTAAATCTAATTATAAGATATATTCACATTCTTATGTATATAAATTTAATGGCTTTATCTAGAGCTGCAACTACCAACGTTTCTGATAATCAAGTAATGTCTTAAAATTATTTATTTTATAAATTTATTTTTCTGCTAAATTATTTATTATTTATTTATCTACTTTATTTATTTTTTTATCTTTTTTTGAATTAGCTTTTGAATTTTATATTTTTTGAGTTCTTTATATCTTGAATTAATTTCAATTTAATTTAAAAAATACACTTTAGTTTTGTAACAATGTAAAAACTTGACTTGTCACTCTTGTTCAATTTAATGCTTCCGTGCTGAATAAAATTAATTTCTTAAAAAAAAAATAAAAAAAATGACTGACCTCAAACCTTTGAATAGCAGTGTATGTTTCATCCAATTGCTTCCTTATTTCCGACATACTGATTACAGCATTTGCACTAGGGTTGACTGAGAGTGAGTCATTTCTGTAGCTTGCGTGTGCTATTAAAACAGATCTGGAGCTCCTGGCCTGTGTGAGATGGGCGGACGGTGAGCCAGATTAAATTCTTGGGTCTGTGCGGAAGCCAGCTGACCTCAGATGCCCCGCTGCAGTTGTCTTTCCTGTTTAGAAGGAGCAAATCCCTTTATTTTTGCAGAGCTTTGATGGGCTAGAGCTGATATTTTTGAATCTGAAAGTGTGTCATACTCAAGCATGTTTATTTGTAAACAGAATAAACATGCTTGACCGCATTATGGGTGATCTGAGTTTGCATTCCCATTATTTGGCAGAAAGCGTTCCGCTGCTGGGAATGGTGAGCAGCTGTGTGTGGAAATGTCTAGAAATGCACATATTTGAGTACCTATGTGTGTGTTTGTGATTTGTTCCACAGGAAGACCCAGCACAGCTCCCTGGACCAGAGCTCACCACCTCAGACAGGGATTTCCACTTACAACCACCCGGTGCTGGGAATGTACGACCCAAAAGATGACTTCCCGCTCCGCAAGACGGGTAAAACTAAGCCCCTTCCTCTCAATGCGTCCCTCCCTGTCTTTTCACTTTCACTAGGGTTGCTTACACCCGTTCAGGTTTACTTACTCAGAACTGGTTCCAAAAAACATGGAATAAACTCTGTGACCTTTGCTTCCATTGACGTTAGTGGAAACCATTTTTTCCATCTGTAGATGCAGAAGCCGTTTTCTCACACTCACACACAACTATAAAAGATTGTGACGTTCAACGGCTACAAAATGTGGAGCAGTGTTTCACATCGGCGGCATATCTGCGGCATATTCGCCGATACGATATATCTGCGACAGGCTCATATCGGCCGATAAAATCGGCAAAACGATATATCGGTCGGGCTCTACTTATGATTGTACTTTATTAATTTACTTAAAACTTTTACAAATTCATTATTTAATTGCATTATTTAAATATATATTTTTTCATGTTCCATTAAAATTCAGAAGGGAAATATACCGAATTGTTATGGAAAGAAATGAATAAATAGTGCTGTTTGTTTTGTTTTGTTTTGTGGAACATGACCAGAACAAGTTGTTGACAAATTTTTTTTAGATGCACCTAAGGTCCAGGTAACATTGCTTAGATTTACTTGATAGCATTAGAGAGTCCTATTGGTGTCTCTCTCTCTCTCTCTCTCTCTCTCTTGAAACATTCTGGAAAGTTTTCTGCTTTTGATGAAAAACGTCCATGAGGTTTTAGGAGGTTTAGGTAAAGACATTCTCTCTGACATCTGCTGTGTGTTAAGAAGAGCTCCAGTGTCTGTGGGCTGGCATGGGTCCTGTGCCCCCTGCTTCAGCATCACTGTCTTCATTATCGGGGCTCCAGGCAGTGTGTGTTAAAGAAGTTGCCCGCCCCCCTGCCGCTGCAGGAGAGCACTCAAGGGCAATTCCTATGCAGACTCACTTTCGGCTGGTTTAGGTAGCGTAAGGCCTCTGTGCTCATTAATCACCCTGGAAATGGGCCTGTCAGGGACCCGCAGTACAACCTGCCCTGGGCCTTTAGCACACACAGAGCCCCGGTGAGACCTGCGTAATTACAGTGCAGGCCAGGGAGATGGGAGGGGGAGGTGTTGCGGAGTGCACTACAGTCGTAACTGCGGACAGAAGGTGAATGCAGCTCCTGCAACCTAAATCAAAGGGTCCTACTGTACAGCAACCTTTATGACCTCTAGGTCTGCTTGAGGATGATTGAACATTCATTGCACTCAGAGTCCAAAATGAACGTTTTGCTGCACCTGTCAAATTGCAGATAATCTGAGAAAATTTACAGGCTATAAATACCATACAGTCATTTTATTTATTTTATTTTATTTTAGATATTTATTTTATTTTCCCTACAAGAAAGTGATAGTTTGGCTTTTTATTTTATTATTTTATATATTATATATTATTTTATTATTGTAATATATTTTCTATTTTATCCCTATAAGAAACCGGTTGTTTAGCTGTTATTTTATTTTATTTTTTTCCCTGTAAGAAAGAGACTGTTTAGTTGTTTTTATTTATTTAATTAATTTATTTATTTCATAGCTTTTTTTTGTTGCATATTTGTGACAAACGGCATGAGTCATTGTGCTAATCAACTGCACCTGTCAAAGAAACAAATTATTTTGTTCCACATTTTTTATTTCATCTTAATGCGACAAATATTCCACCATATGTGTTGCCACATGGGGTTCAGTAAAAAAATGACTTAATACAACCTAGAGAAATTTTTCCACAAGGAATAGTTGTTCATTTTTCTTTAATAGACTGGTTTTGTGTTTGATTTTAATTGATTTTAATTTACTTTTATTCCATCAGCAGAAGTTTTTGCACATCACTTGCATATAATCTGAGATAATCTTACCTATAATTTAGCTGTTGACAAGTTACCAGTCGTCATCTACTCCCATTTGGCGCTTGGCCGGTGTTAATATTGGACCCTGATTGCGCTGTTGCAACCCACAGTTTGGTTTGATGCGATATGTGTTCCCACAGTTCATTGTTTTCATTATCCATGAGTGGCACAACCTCTTTGACGTCCTTCCACGGTTATATTTCCCATGCAAGCTATTAACCTGGGAAAGCAGCAGGAGCATACAGGCGGTGGAACCTCGGGAAAGAGGATCCGATGGTCTGAACTTCAAGCTGTGAAATGTTCTTTGTTTAGTTCTGATGATTGAGTTTGCGGTAAGGCTCGTTTGCGAGTCGATTCCAGTCGTCCCGCTGTAGATAAACCTCAGTTTGCTCTGGCTGGCAGAGCGCATTCCTGCAGCGGGGTTATGGAGAAGGAGGGTGGCCCAGGCCTTAACCAGAACTGTTTGACGCTCGCTTTCCCTCTCAGGACAGGCCCGAGTCTGTTTTCACACGTCTCACCTAACCGTCGGACATCTGGAACCTTGGCTGTTGGCAGCTGCAGGAAGTGTTATGTTGTTTTAGGACAGTGAAGTCTGCTAGATGTCCAGTGCCATGAATGCTGCACAGACGGTTGCTCTTCTGGATTTATGTCATGGTTTTCTGATAGTGGTGAGCAGTGTTTTGGGCTGTTATATGTTACAAGTTACGTTATCGAATTGCTGTTCTCAACGAGTAAAGTGACGTTTGACTTGTGTAGTTATTTTGTTCAAATAAGCACTGCATATTACATAATCATATATATTTTTTTTTCAATCAAATATATAATTTAGTATTAGTTACTGTATGTTATGTATATGTTGTGTATATGTATATGTTATGTTATGTAATAAGTAATGCAGTATTTTAGAATGCTACTTTTACAAGTAACATCCTCCAGCAGTGGTGTTGACGCTTTCCTTTCTACGCTAAGTGTGAATGTATGGTGCAAGTATGTGGCTCAGCGAGAGCTCTTTTGTTTCTCTCATGCATTTCTCCTGCAGTGCTGTGAGGCTGTGCTCTTCTGACCATGTTCGAGCAGGCGGGAAGGTCACAGAGCTGACATTTTGCGCAGAGCGGGCTTGCAGCAATCGTGACTGTTTTTCGGTGACTCATTCTTTCACATGTCATGCAGAAAGTGTTTTTTCTTCGAAAATCTGGCTCAAAATTCATCGCAAACAATTACTTGCTGTTGACAGCCTTGGGGCAGTGAGTAAATGACTGTCTGTTATGCCTCACTTGAAACACAAGTTGCTCTCATTTGATCAGAAATAGGACACTTTTATAGAAAATGAGTTTGAGACGTCGCACAAAGCATTGCCGTTGCTCTTCTCATTTGTACACCATATGATTCGCCTCCAGGTTACAGCGAAGTGCTCTTCACATTCATGTTGACACGTCAATTTTCGCTGGGGAGTTTACAGGATTAGAAAGCAGAGGATAGAGAAATCTGGAAGGAATTGAGCTTGAGCTTTAAACACAATTACACTAATCAGCCTGGAGGTTGCAATTTGTGACCTAATACCTGCTAATAAGAGCTGGGATGCAGGCTGTAAAGGACAGAAGAGTGAACAGGACTGTGCTTTGTTTCTTGGGTAATGTTTAGTGATCAGGTCTGGTAACCAAAAGCTGACAAATGCATATGCAAATCCAAACGGTTGTCTATTTGTTTACAGTATGTATATTTTTAGGGCTTTTGAAAAAAGTTAGGCTGATGATACACAGGACAACTGTTTGAGCAATGTTGCCAAGCAACTTTTTAAAGAAATGTTGCTTGGGCACTTTCCCACTGAGAATGGAAAACTAATTTCTATCTGGATACTTTAATATATTTTATCGAAACTTTATGCTATCTTTTCTGTTTTTCACATAGAGTATAAATGGACCTGTGTGCATGAAAATCTATTACTTCCTTTTATATTTTAGGAAGGGAATCGTCATGTTTAGGGGTTCTTGGCATTAAAAAGTTTGACAATGATGATAATGATAATGAGGAGCCGTGCCGCTCCCTGAACATGCTGTCCACTCAACACAGCTTCTGTTTGCCTCCTAAGAGCTCATTTCCCTTATCTGGATCTAAGTGCTTTTTTAATAGCTGTAGGATGATGACTTCTGCTTGCAGGGCTCCAGACTGCGACTAAAACGCTCGCATTTGCGACCAAAAATATTAATTTTGTGAGTTACGTTTTTGCTGAGGTCACCCCTGGCGACTATATATATTTACATGTTATGACTTAAAAATGTGCATGTAATGCCTTTTTTCCTGATTGTTTTGTGATCACATCTTTTGTTATGTTCACGTATTAATCTGAGAAAAAAGTGGAATGGAAAAAAAGTTTCAAACAGTCCTCGTCTCTGCAGCACAGCAGCATTGACGCACACCCCACAGAAAAGCAGCGTCTATTTCGTGCACAACCTGAACAAACTACAACAGGTAAAGCTGTCAGCTGTGTGGATATTGGCAATATCGTTAACAATTCTCGTTTATAATCATTACTAATATGGCTTCTTGTTATCAAGATCTTAGTCTGCTGTGTTCTGTTAATGCGTGGACTTCATATTAGTTGAAGCGCACTTGCCGTCCAGTAATCGCAATAAGCTTTGTGCTTTGTTACTTTTTAATAAACAAAGTATCAGCTTTAAAATTATTCATAACGAATAATGAATTCATAACGAAATTGAAAAAATAAATACGGTTTTGGCGCTCTTAAATGCAGCAGGCACGATCGCTTTAGCACCTCAGTTCAAGCGGCAAGTGAACCATTATATAAGTGAAGACATTATATCTTTATCTTTACTACTATAGTACATAATGAATATGAATTAACATCAAAAGGTAGGCTATTTTATAAGAGATCCTACAGTACAATTTACTGAAATGTCTCGTGTAATAAAAGCTCATTCAGTGTTTCAAACTGCGGAAAACATGTAAAGCTTGTAAACATTGCAACGTAATTATACATTTCCCCCAGAATAACCATTCGGTGTCCACAAGCTCATCAGTCAGCTAGAAAAATAACTATAAAGAGGAGCATTTTGCTATATTTATGCGGTATTGCATATTGATATTTTTTATTTAACCTGTTGATTCAACTTTATAGGATTCAACTC